AATTCTTAATCTATTCCAAAAAGTTCTTGAAAAAATATTGAAAACTGATGGAGTTATTTCAATTTTAATGAAGTCATTTTGGCTAGTATTCCGAACCGAGATATTATGTGCAATTTTCCCAATTTTGTTCATGGAGGTCTTTTTACTTAGTATCCACTATATTCAACAAACACTGAGTTATATCTTTCACATAGAGTTAGTCTCATTAAAAAATATTGAAATTTTATCGAATTTGGTCAAAAGCGAATTTGGGCAAAAGCGTATGCCCAAATATGGGCATACTTTTAAAAGCTCATAGCTCAGCCAATTTTTGACCAATCTGGATGGAAATTCATGTACTAGTCCTAAAACAGGCTTATCTTGCGAATCTGAGTGAAAAATATAGTTCATCATGTAAATCTTAACGAAGAATATAAATCTTCTAATTGTAGGTATATTAAAGTATACTAAAATGTAGGATTTTTTCCGATTTTGACCCGGGGATATACTTTAATATACTTTAATATGGTTGCCCCCCCCCCCCCCCCCCCATTTTTTGAAAATTTCTAGCAACTGGCGGTCGAAAATTTCGAAAATTTAAATTATCCTAATCCTATTTGCCACTCGGTTTAAAATCGATATCCGACCGTTTGCGATTAATATTATATCAAATGTGGTCAATATCTAAATAGCATATTCTACAATCTAGATCTATAAAACAGAGTACGAGTTACGGGGGGAAGGGGGGGGGGGGGGGGGGCGGGAGGGGGGGGGGGGGGAGGGAAACACGTCATCCTTTTACATCTTCCCATAGTTTCCAATTGTGTTAACAAACAATTAAAGGTCAACTTGTAGTGATAAATTCTCTCCTATACAAGCATGGTTATAGTGCAGAAATAAAGTTAAGAGACTCGCTGTTCAGATCGCCACGTCCATTGGTTCATCAATTAAATATCTGACCAATGAGCGCACGTTATTTCGTCTATTAAAGAGATAATATAAACAATTCAGTTATTTAGAATATATATTCGCATGTATCCACACTATATTTACACAATATAAACAATAGAACGACAACATCAGCTTAACAGCTTAACGTTGAAGGACCCGATAGAGACAGAGTACTAGAGACCGCTGGGTAGACTAATCCATAGTGATCACTTCATCACCCCGTATGTGTTATATTGAACAACATTCCGAGCGAACAATGTACCAGATCTATAAAACAGAGTACGAGTCACGAGGGGGGGGGGGGGGGGGTCACGTCATCCTTTTACATCTTTCTTATACACTTGCCTTCGAGATAGTAGTTGACCAACAAACTAGTTTCCCAACTTTCGAGGGGGTCCCAGCCTAAATTACCCCAACATGCCCAAAATCCCAGAATTTAAGCGCTTTACTTATAGGAAGAGGTTTCCTGAACTTGTATACAACAAAACCATATATCCATATTTGGGCATACGACAATCAACTACAATCCGAAAACAAGTTTCACAACAAATTTAGGGTTAATCCCCTTAAGTTGTAGAATATTGCTCAGTATGTTGTTCAATATAACACATACGGCCGGACCTCGTGATATAATGGATTAGTCTACAGTAGCCACGGCCCACGTGATAGTAAATGTACAAAGTTTGCGATTGTAATAAACAGACATCTTTCCAAGACGTGCTGATTGGAGCAACGGTGTTATGATCATCAATCACATTTCTTTCTATTATGTTACATTATGTTTCTTTTATTAGTGGTTGTGAGTCTCGCGTCCCTGCATCTTGCAGCAGCAAGAGGTAATATTTCATCTTGAACACAATATACTCCACCCGAGGATTCCCTCTACAAAAGAGTCTCTTTCTAGACAAATCTTAGTCTTACTTATTCACTCGCCCAAAAATTATCACATGAACAAAACGGTTGCAGCCGAACAAAACGGTTTTACATAAACCCTAATCCCAACCCTAACCTTAACCATAAACCCAAAGCTACGAATAACCCTAACCACAACCCTAACCCTAACCCGAGTCCTAAATAATCAAATTCGTGTTTTACTAGCCTGTCACGTACGTGTCCAAAAAGTTTTGTTGCCCATAACTCTCCAGGGAAGCATTTTTCAGCGTCCAAAATGATTTTAATAAAGTGTGTTCTAATTCTAATAGAATTACAGGGGTTCCAGAAAACCCACTTCCTGATACTCCTGTAACTTGAAACTTTTTTTGCAGTCAATTTGGTCAACATCTAGACGCCCTGCAATTTTAACATGGTTTTTAAGGCACCTGAATATGGCGAATGCTTGAAAAATAGTAAAGGGGGTAAATAGTAAAGGGGGTAAGTAGTAAAGGGGGTATAATAGACTGGCATATTAATTAAAATTATGGTTATCGGACAGAATGAGGTTTAAATCACTTAACATCTTTAATACTATCAAACAGTGGCAAACTTTTGCAGCTCAGTGGCTTTTTGTGGGCGACTTAAAGGTGGCGGCATGTTGTCAGTATTGTGGCATCCTTTGTATAAGTTTTTCACTATCACTATGTTCGTAGAAATATTTCCTTTACCGTCATGAGTTTTTGTCCATATTGTGTTCGCAAAAGTATGGTATAAAGTTATAATATAGATTAATCGTCTTAGCAATTGGTCAATGTTGAAATTTCACTTAACAGATTAACTGCTAAAACTAACCTTATGCCTAATACATTTTACATCTCATACGTATTATGTTATTTCCTCATCTTTGCGTTTGTTCGTAAGAGGGCCTCAGGCCTCTATGTATCGTCTTCTGATTATGCTCATAATGATCAGGGTAGCATGAACCGTGGAAAAATTGGTTTTAGGGATCCACTTTTTTTTCCATAGGGTAGTGTAAGCTAATGATCTTAGAATTGAATAAATAACAATTAGAACATGCTACTCATGAGTCAGCCTACCGTCTGGTAACCACTAGACATAAAGTTGACCACTAGACATAAAGTTGACCACTAGACACATAAAACTTGACCACTAGAAATAAATTCGACCACTTATAGACACCCCAATCAATGTCTGGAAAACTGCAAACATTCACATGACGATGACTTACCCAACTTAAGGAATTGTCCGTGAAGATGAACAAAGGCAAAGATGAGAAAATAAAATAATGATCAGCTCATAAGGTTAGTTGGGGGTTAATTTGTTAATTGACATCGAATCATGATGGTAAAGGAAATATTTCTACGAAGACATGACGGTGTTAGTGTAACTTATTGTTTCCATAGGTTAGTGTAATCTAAGAATTGAATAAATAACAATAAGAACATGCTACTCATGAGTCAGCCTACCGTCTGGTAACTAGAAAATAAGTCTGGTTAGTTCTTGAGGGGTTAAGTTTGGGATTAGGGTCGTTCACATATTACGCAATCAGCCGAAGGGGGATGGTGTTCCCAAATGATAATGGTTGATAACAGGTGGGGGGTCGAATACTTTCGGCTATAATGATCAGAGTAGCATGAAACATGAACAAAAGTAGTTTCAGGAAAAACTTCCAAAATCGTATATCGAAAGGTAGGTACTACTACTAGGTACGAACCTCTGAAAACCGAACAAAATATGGTAGGCTCAATGCTCATATTGATCAGGGTAGCATGAACCGTGGAAAAATTGGTTTCCAGGAATCCACTTTCACAAGCATTTCTTAACCCACTCGTCTGCTGACGTAATATTATTAGCCACAAAATTCCCAACTTCCCTAAAACTTAGACATAAAAAATTATACCACTAGACATAAGTTTACCACTAGATATAAATCTAACCATTAGACACCCCAATTAATGTCTGGAAAACTGCAAACATTCAGAAGACGATACATAGAGGCCTGAGGCCCTCTTACGAACAAACGCAAAGATGAGGAAATAACATAATACGTATGAGATGTAAAATGTATTAGGCATAAGGTTAGTTTTAGCAGTTAATCTGTTAAGTGAAATTTCAACATTGACCAATTGCTAAGACGATTAATCTATATTATAACTTTATACCATACTTTTGCGAACACAATATGGACAAAAACTCATGACGGTAAAGGAAATATTTCTACGAACATAGTGATAGTGAAAAACTTATACAAAGGATGCCACAATACTGACAACATGCCGCCACCTTTAAGTCGCCCACAAAAAGCCACTGAGCTGCAAAAGTTTGCCACTGTTTGATAGAATTAAAGATGTTAAGTGATTTAAACCTCATTCTGTCCGATAACCATAATTTTAATTAATATGCCAGTCTATTATACCCCCTTTACTACTTACCCCCTTTACTATTTACCCCCTTTACTATTTTTCAAGCATTCGCCATATTCAGGTGCCTTAAAAACCATGTTAAAATTGCAGGGCGTCTAGATGTTGACCAAATTGACTGCAAAAAAAGTTTCAAGTTACAGGAGTATCAGGAAGTGGGTTTTCTGGAACCCCTGTAATTCTATTAGAATTAGAACACACTTTATTAAAATCATTTTGGACGCTGAAAAATGCTTCCCTGGAGAGTTATGGGCAACAAAACTTTTTGGACACGTACGTGACAGGCTAGTAAAACACGAATTTGATTATTTAGGACTCGGGTTAGGGTTAGGGTTGTAACAAACCATTAAAAAAAAGTGGGTTCCTGAAAACCAATTGTTTTCCATGGTTCAAGCTACCCTGATCATTATGAGCTTCTGAAGTCCGTACATACATTCGGAAGGCTATGGATGTGATTGGTTCTATATACATACTTGGCACTCAGATTTAAAGGAAAATGCGTAATTTGTCGTGAAAAACTGAAATAATCTGAGGATCTGAGAAAATCGCAATTTGTTGCAGCAAACGTCAAAAATCGCGATTTGTCGCGGAGAATGAGAAAAAATCGCGATTCTGCACGTGCCGCGATTTCCTTTTGTCCTTGTGTTCAAGCGATCGCCGGATCGCAGATCGACAGAACATCTTGACCGATTAGTTTACGTATCTTACAGTTATTAAGTTATTTATCTTCGCTCTATTTACGTAATCACCCAATAAACTGCAGACAGAATGTTCAAACTTCTAGTTTCTCTCATTGTGCTCTCCAGCCTGTTGCTCGGTACAAGTGCTGTCGACTGTGGTGCAGCAACATCAACAGCATCAGCAACATGTGCAGTTGCATCCGCAGCTGCTGGTGTTTTAGGTTTAATGGTTTGTGCGGGTACTGCTGGTCTAGGGTGTGCAGCTGTAGCAGCAGGAGGTGCTGTGACTGCTCTTTGTGGTGCTGTTGCGGGAACTATTGACTGTGGTGGCGAAGATCTGTCTGCAGGTGAGATAATCAGTAATTATAAGTTATAACGGATATATTTACTATTATTATTTATTATATTATTTAGTTTGTTGCTTTTTTAGTCTTAACACTAGAACATGTTTACATAGCTTCTCGAATTAATTTTATAGCCAATTAATGACGTCATATTTAACATACCGCAGAAAATCAAAAAATAATAATAAGCTACTTGGAGGACATTGAAGAGGATGTCCGCGATTTGAGTAACAGAGTTGAACTTGGATTCTACGAGAACAAATACGATAGCTACATCAACAAGATCATGTAGGTTACAGACATATCACAAATCACAAAAGAAAACCTATAGTTATTCTGGCCCAATGTTCACTGTGGAAAAAAGGAATACAACCATTCGAATTTGATTAATCCATAATAACGACAAGGTTCCAAACCATTTCCACCATTTCCACTTTTTGGAATGAGATAGAAAACTAAAATAATAAATTAGAAATATTCTAATCAAAATTAATCGCAGATCCGCGACGGGTAGATATCAGCAGGATATCGTGAAGAAGACAATAGGTGACAAGACAGCTAGGTACGGAAACAACATGATGATAAAAGAGTACGTCGATGATATTCTTGGTGACGGAGCATACGACGTCCGGGGAGCCCTTACCGTCATTGATGGCATGATATCAGGCAGACAAGGCATCACACGCTCACCATCAGTGTATGAGCTAGCATGGGATTTAAACATATGCACTGAAGACCTCTTCAATTTCATGACAAACCTGATTATAGAGGGAACTACTACTTCGTTCGTCGCCATGGAGATGCGGCCGCAGGGTGGTGGAGTTCATCAGGCGGACAAAGACCAACTCACGACACGACTTGAAGATAATTTGAATGAATTTAAATCGGCTTGCGCATACTACCAAAAACTAGATACCTCGAACCTACCTCGCTATTCATACGTGGGTTCCCTCGTTTCTTCTACATATAATATACAAATAAAGTACCCGTAAATATTTTGATTAACAGGGAAATTATTAAAAAATCTTATTTATAAAAACTTAAAGCTGGTCAATTTTGTTCTAATACCGGAAATTAATATACAGGGTGGGCCAAAAGTCAGTGTGCAAACGTTGGCCTTCATAGCTCAGTCACTGAGTGCCCAATTGAAATACTTCCTTCTGGTATGGCTTAGTACCACCACTGGTTCGAGGAATTTGTCAACTCGAAAAATATTCGCGTTCATTTTTTTCACATGGAGGTTCATTTTCACATTTATTTGATAGTTTGGATAGTCGGATCAAGCTAAATGTTATTGAATTGTGTTTGGCCATTCGAATTACGTTTGTCCTGAAAGAATTAGAACTGTAGCTTCTCAGATGACCGAGATATGAAGCATAACGAGTTTATTCATTACGTGTGATCAGGTGATTGGTTTACCTAATCACGTGATAAGGTGACCCCGTTAACTACCCCGTTAAACATTATGGGAATTGTTAAGGGTGCCCAATTAAGGTGTCGTGTCACGGTGTCACATAATCACCCAGTCAATTTTGTTAACGAGATACAGAAAATGCTTGATAACTTCGTCATTTCTAATCCGTTTTGCCTCATGTTTTCAGATCATATGCAACATTTGATAATCAACCGTCTCTGAAAAAATTAGGCGTTCAGCATGTTCAGAGAAAACAATATAGGTGTTTTAATATTGAATGGGCGTGGTCTAAAATATTCGAATTTTCAAATTTTGACGACGGAATTCTCGAACCAGTAAGTACAGTATGCCATCTGCAAAGCAACAGCTCTCAAATATAAAACACGGCGGAGGTATAAGACCCAACGTTTGCACACTGACCTTTGGCCCACCCTGTACTAATAAAATTTACAATTATCACTTATCAGGACACCAACAAACTTACTTTCCCCGCGTACTGGGGAGATTGGGGGGAGGTTGAGTATTGTTCCCACGGAGGATATGTAACCTCGTTCAAGCTAAAGGTGGAAGGTTATCAGGGTAGTGGTGACGACACAGCTCTAAACGCAATCTGTCTTGGATGTAGCCACGGGGATGAAGTTTGCAGCAGCGAAGGAAAACATGGAAACTGGGGACGACGTGCAAAGAACGATGACGATGAGGATACTTGCAAAGAGGGATTTGTCGCCGCCAAGCTCAGTATTGAATTCCGACAAGGTAACAGTGACGACACATCTGCTAACGACCTTCGGCTTATCTGCAATGACAATGGGTCGAAGACGTTCCAAACAGAAAACGGGATGCCTTGGGGAGCTTGGTTTACCCCGTTTGGGCAGCAGAATTGTCGCGGTGGCTCGGTGATCTGCGGACTGAAGACCAGAGTGGAGAAGGAGCAGGGTACCTGCTCGACGTGTGACGACACAGCCCTTAACGGCGTGGAGTTTCAATGCTGCGAGGACATTTGGTCATAGGTCATATTAACGTTTATGTGTGCAATACTTAATCGGTAGAAACAGAACGGGTTAATCTTTTAAATTAAATACGATAGTTTTATTTTATTTCACTTTCAGTAGAAATTTTGGGCGTCTTGAAATCAAAAGCGTAGATTTAATGGGATTTCCGATTTAAACTATAGTCAACCAAAATCAACAACTTTTTCAAAAAATGTTATTTTAATTAAAGTCGCAGTCTTTTCTGGTAGATAGATTAGATGAGAGATATTTTCCCATTAACTGTAATTTAACGTAATATAAATTTTATTTTTGTGCACGGTAAAAATCGTTTCCAATGTTTACTTGCCATCAAAGTTATATTTAAGAAAAATTCTCGATATATGAACAGTGAAATCCCAACACTTTACCAACGGCTTCCATTTTTGTCGCCAAATAAAGACTTTGGCGAAACAAAATCATGACGGATTCTTGATCATTGAGGAATGTAGTAGACAGATTCATTATTTAAAATTACATTCACTTCATGATCATCAATCAGCTGATCAGGTTAGTGTGTACAGCGTATATATTATATATATTACGCTATAAATTATTGGTGTGTTACCCAGCCTCATGGAGCTAGTTCCACGAGAGTAGACAATAATCCAGCAAGCAAATCTTAACACAATAAGTTCTGGAATTTCCAGTCACATACTATTACTAGTACTACATACTACACATTCTTAAATGATATCAAGTGTCTAAACGTACTCCATGCCATGTGACGGGGAAAAAACATGTGACGGGGAAAAAATGTTAGGCGATCATAATGATCAGGGTAGCATCAAGCATGCTACCCTGATCATTATGATCGCCTTACATGTTTTTTCCCCGGTTTTCTGAAGTCAGCACCTAGTATAATTACATACTCCTCAATGTTTGTACGATTTTGGAGTCGATGCTTCCCCATTCTAATGCGATCTCGAAAGGCAGACCTCCCTTTTGCAATACGAGCTCGGAAGCGGGAGCTCTGCCTTCAGAGGTACGTATCGAGAATGACTCGATAAGTAAAAATCTTTTCAAAGTGTTTCTAGAAACTACTTTTGTTCACGATTCCACGTCGACGGTTTTGGAACAAATATTTTACGAGTATCATATCTTAATTATAATTTTTTATTTGTAGTAAACTACGAAGAAAATTTATATTTTTGGCAAAATATCTGGGGGGGGGGGGGGGGGGGGGGATTCGAGCTTCTCGTGATAGTATCGAGCAATAGAGTAGTAAGCTGCAAGCTAAGTATTCTTTGGTGATCCCATGCCATGGCAAGCACGGATGCTACTCATATAACTGCTTAACTGTTGGCGTTGCTGCACGCGTTGCTGCACGCTATCGGATCACATTGGCATTTGATTAATTTATTCATAATTGGGATAACAACTAAAAGTTCACATGGTATAACTATATAGGCACATGAAGGTCATCTAATTATATGAACTAGAGTACGTCTACCCCGGAATGTTACCTGAAATCCCCAATAATCCTGGACCAGGCAAAAGTCCCGCTCACATTGGGACGTCCGCTCGGTTTCTCGATGTAATCCGACTCATATGGTCCTAAATAACACTAATTACTCGGGTACACTTTTTCACCAGTGGGGCATTTCTCGGAATCACGCCCTTTTTGACCGCACCCATATCGCGACCCCAACTATAAATTATCTCGGCTTCTGATTGAGATACAGACCTCAGGCATGAACCAAAATGTGCCTAAGATGCATGTTTATATTAGTGCTATGAAGATACTTAAGGCCTAAGAGACTTAGTTTTTGAGAAATCGCCAATAATCCGATTTTACTATATCAGCAGTCTCGCAAGTAACAATTATCACACTTATTTCAAGATATCTCAGCTTCTGATTGGAGCTAAGCACTCATCTTGGGCATTAAAATGGTCAAAATCATCATATTGAGTGGGGTAGAGCATGGTTTTAAAGTCTTGAGACTTCAGGTTGTTAAGTTATTAGGTCAGATCCCATTTTTATGCTCTCGCGAGTAGCGATTGATGCACCCATTTCAAGATATCTCAGCTTCTGATTGGAGCTAAGCGTTCATCTTGGGCATTGAAATGGTCAGAATCATCACATTGAGTGGGGTAGAGCATGGTTTTAAAGTCTTGAGACTTCAGGTTGTTGAGTTATTAGGTCAGATCCCATTTTTAGGCTCTCGCGAGTAGCGATTGATGCACTCATTTCAAGATATCTCAGCTTCTGATTGGAGTTAAACGCTCATCTTGGGCATTAAAATGGTCAGAATCATCACATTGAGTGGGGTAGAGCATAGTTTTAAAGTCATGCGACTTCAGGTTGTTGAGTTATTAGGTCAGATCCCATTTTTACGCTCTCGCGAGTAGCGATTGATGCACCCATTTCAAGATATCTCAGCTTCTGATTGGAGTTAAACGCTCATCTTGGGCATTACAATGGTCAGAATCATCACATTGAGTGGGGTAGAGCGTGGTTTCAAAGTCTTGAGACTTCAGGTTGTTGAATTATTCGGTTAAAACATATTTTTACACTCTTATCTCGCGAGTAGGGATTGACACACTTATTACAAGATATCTCAGCTTCTGATTGAGATATCTTGAAATAAGTGCATCAATCGCTACTCGCGAGAGCGTAAAAATGGGATCTGACCTAATAACTCAACAACCTGAAGTTCCAAGACTTTAAAACTATGCTCTACCCCACTCAATGTGATGATTCTGACCATTTCAATGCCAAAGATGAACGCTTAGCTCCAATCAGAAGCTGAGATATCTTGAAATAAGTGCATCAATCGCTACTCGCGAGAGCGTAAAAATGGGATCTGACCTAATAACTCAACAACCTGAAGTCTCAAGACTTTAAAACTATGCTCTACCCCACTCAATGTGATGATTCTGACCATTGTAATGCCCAAGATGAGCGTTTAACTCCAATCAGAAGCTGAGATATCTTGAAATGGGTGCATCAATCGCTACTCGCGAGAGCCTAAAAATGGGATCTGACCTAATAACTCAACAACCTGAAGTCGCAAGACTTTAAAACTATGCTCTACCCCACTCAATGTGATGATTCTGACCATTTCAATGCCCAAGATGAACGCTTAGCTCCAATCAGAAGCTGAGATATCTTGAAATAAGTGCATCAATCGCTACTCGCGAGAGCATAAAAATGGGATCTGACCTAATAACTCAACAACCTGAAGTCTCAAGACTTTAAAACCATGCTCTACCCCACTCAATATGATGATTCTGACTATTTTAATGCCCAAGATGAGTGCTTAGCTCCAATCAGAAGCTGAGATATCTTGAAATAAGTGTGATAATTGTTACCTGCGAAACTGTCTCAGTAGCGGAACCCACCTCTCAACAGCTCACACAGCTCATCAAGAAGAAGACGGAGAACCTGGTGAAGGAGTCGAATAACCTGTGGAAGAAGATCTCATCACAGCGGAACCTTGACGACGACTACAAACGACGGATCAGAGTTCCTGACCATGTCAGCCTCCCAGTCATGTACGTCCAAATCAAGACCCACAAGAACCCTCCGGAGAGCTTCCGCTCGACGATCCCTCTTGAGCAGGTTAAGGTTAGACCCATCATCAGCTGCGTGGACTCACCTACAGAGAGACTCAGTTGGCTAGTGACGACCATTCTTAAACCTCTCCTTAATGAGGTGCCTAGTCACCTGAGTAATTTAATCCAGCACATAGAGATGCTCCGCCAGATCTCTCAGGAACAGCTTGCCAGGAGAAAGTTCTTTGCCGCGGATATTTCAGCTTTATACACTAACATAAACGTACAGGGCTGTATAGACGATGTCATTGAGCTAGCTACAGAGCACCGAGACAGTTTGGACCTGATGGGACTCAGCCTGACAGACATTCATGAGATCCTACTACACATCCTTACCAACTCTTTCTTTGTGTATAACAGGACTCTCTGGCTACAGCAGGATGGTCTGTTCATGGGTTTGAGGCCAGGGCCCTTCTGTGCCATCATCAGAGTGTACAAGTTCGAGAAGAACTCTATCTACACCGATCGACACTACCTATCGGTATACTTATCGAACTTCTACAAACGCTACATAGATGATGCTGCCAGTACTGCAGAGACGAAAGAAGAAGCCCTTGCTCTGGTTCAACAGATTGCAGACCAAGATCCGGACAAAAAGTTGAAGTGGGAGGTCGACTTTCCAGAACAACAGGACGATTTTATCCCCTTCCTGAACACTGAGGTCCGGATCGAGCCAAACGGTAAATTAACCAGCAGATTGTACCGCAAGCCGCAACAAAAGGATATTACCCTGCACAACAACTCTTGCCATCCTGAGTCTGTTAAGATTAATACAGTGAAGAACCTATATAGCAAGGCTTGCCGTATCTCATCTGGCCCAGCGGAAAAGGAGCACTCTCTCAGACTCCTTGATGATCTATTACAGAAAAACGGGTACCAGAACCCAAGACGTTATTGTAACAGTAGTAATTCTAACAGGCGTCAGAGTGTTGAGGATGATTCCAGGACAGTTCTTAATTTAGATTTTATTTCGGACAGTACTAGCAATAAGATTAGAAATTATGTGAAGCAGAACAATTTACCTATTAAAGTAAACTTTAAACCTACTTCGAAATTGAGAAATATTTTATGTAGTAACAGACCGTATGATAAACGTGTGTGCAGTATTAATTCATGTAAAATTTGTCCTTTGATAGTTTGTAATAAAGATTGTGAAGTGAAGAATGTTGTATATAAGATTAAGTGTAAATTATGTGACCAGCTGTACGTTGGAGAAACCAGTAGGAAAGTACATGCTCGTGTAGGAGAACACTTACGTTACGCTACCTACCCTGCTACCCCTTCTAATGTTAGTCAAGCTTTTGCCATACATTATTCGAGCTGTCATGAGGGGTTAAATCCCAGTTTAGAAGTAGATATTTTAAGAATTGAGCCCAATACTGTCAGAAGAAAGATTTTCGAAGCGATGTTTATTATTAATCTGAACCCTACAATTAACAAGAGAGAAGAACTTGATACTATTAAACGTTTTATCATAGCTAGTACTGAAGAATTTTAGATATTTTAGTTTCATTCCCTTTTTATTGCATACAGTTTCAGTTTTCTAGCAGTAGTAATTTTTAATGTTTTTTCACATCTCGCTCACAATCAGGTACCACTCACTATAATTTCACTCACATTGTGTATACACCATCTCACATGTATTGTATCTTTTACCTTATCATCTGTTATCACTTACATCTTATCATCTGTTATCACTGTACATGTCATTCCATCACACGATCACAATCACGTACTTGCTGTTTAGTGGATGTTTTAAGTTTATTGAATAGCAGATCGAGTAGTGGTGTATATATATAGATTTTGATTCTAATTTTAGTCGAGTATTTGAACAATTTGTTGTCGTTTAGCCATTTTTGATTAATAAATTTTATGAGACAGTTTTCTCACATATTTACCAATTTTGTCAGCATGAATAAGAAGTTGTTACTTTGAAACGTCGTTTATCCTAACAGTGCAATATCATTTGTCGCAAATCAGAATAATCAGAAACTATTTGGAAAACCCAAAAACTGTCTACTGCTAATATAGTAAAATCGGATTTTTGGCGATTTCTCAAAAACTAAGTCTCTTAGGCCTTAAGTATCTTAGCTTCATAGCACTAATATAAACATGCATCGTAGGCACATTTTGGTTCATGCTTGAGGTCTGTATCTCAATCAGAAGCCGAGATAATTTATAGTTGGGGTCGCGATATGGGTGCGGTCAAAAAGGGCGTGATTCCGAGAAATGCCCCACTGGTGAAAAAGTGTACCCGAGTAATTAGTGTTATTTAGGACCATATAAGTCGGATTACATCGAGAAACCGAGCGGACGTCCCAATGTGAGCGGGACTTTTGCCTGGTCCAGGATTACAAATGAAGTTTTTTAATACAATTTGCCTGAAAAATCTTAAAATTTCCCAGTCATCATGTTCATCTAATAGTAATTGCAAAATTAGATGGGAAAAAAAGTAATTTGTTGTGTTAAACTCATCAATCGTGTAAGGCAATATTATCAATTACAATATTTTTTAGGGAATTATATGCACTAAAACTCTTGGACACTGAGAGCTGATAATTTGCAGATATTTCCCGCAGAGAAGCGAAGGCATTATCAGCACAGACTGCGAGTCACCTCAGACTGACTGGTGTAGTCAGTGTAGCTTACGTTGCAATTATCGAGCTCTCTTATCTATTGTAACCTGCGATAAGTTCAGTTTGCTGCTACCGCGTAGTTAGCCTTTGCGTGTGTACTTGTACATTCCTATACAAGTACACTATGGAGGATGATCTTAATCGGACCCAATCTCTGGAGCAAATTCAAGTATTCAATTATGATGAACAGAAAAAATTGGAGGACAGTGTTACTAAGTGGTTCATTGCGTTGGGAAAAGAACTGAAAATCGACAACGATGATATTTGTGGAGATATGGACAGAGAAATATTTATGGCTCCAACTGTCTATAAAAAGCATCTGGCACTCCGGCTTGTGGAAGCAATAGACCTCGTTCGACGGCAGGAATGCCAGATGGCTGAAATAGAGGAGATCATATATTTCTTGAAGACGGAAGCGCTAGCAGACAAGGATAAGGTGATCAGGCTGCAGAGCCAGCTGCTTGTGCAGAAGGACAAAGAACTACAGTTGTTTAAGACGTCGGTCAAGGAGACAGTGCAAACAACGGTGGAGTCTGGGATTCAGAGCTACAGTGCAGCTGTACAACAGAACAGTGCAAGTGGTACGGTCTGCAACAGTTACATCCTGAAGAAGGTGATAAAGAGTGTGGCTGCAGAGGAGGACAGGAGCAAGAACTTAATTGTGTTTGGGTTGAGAGAAGAAGAGGGAGAACAGCTTCCAGCGCTAGTCACCGCAGTTTTGGAAGATATTGGGGAGAAACCTCACTTCGAAGCGACTAGAGTCGGCAGGAAGAGGCCAGGTAGTACGGCTATCCGACCAGTCAAGATCACTGTCCCAAAATCAACAGCAATTCATCAGATTCTGATGAAAACAGGGAGACTGAGGCTAGTTGAGACCCACAAAAATGTATGGATCTGTCCAGGTAAATCTAGCGAAGAACGAGCAACGAGGAAGCATCTGGTTACTGACCTGAAGAAGAAGAGGGCTGAACAGACTCATCTCTACCACTATATCCGGTACGGGAAAGTCTGTAGCCGTGATAAAAAGCCACCATGAAGCAATTTATGTCTCTCGGACACTGATCATTATTTGAATGAGTATTGTGTATCTTAAGAGTTTTCGGACGTTATCTGTATTTGATAGACAATTTTATAATTTATATACTCTATTTTTTGATTGTTTCACACTTCAAATTTCATAATTTCATTACTAGGTGGAGGTGATATTATTGAGACTTTGTGCGGCCATAAAACTCGTGTTTTGAAATTTGTCCTCTGTACTTGTTTCACTGACCCACGCTTTATAGCATTTATACATTTCGGCCCATTTTATATGTTTGTTCGATTTGCTGTACATTTGCATATTTGCTATTTTGTAAAAGTTTCAAATCAAATCAACAGTGGTGCACTATATATCACACACTATATTGTATCATGCGCACGTATCACATATTCAGATGTAAAAATGATTTTATTTACGGTCACCAACAGCTAAGGACGTTGCACAGTAACTTTAAGGGGGGGGGGGGGGGGGGGGGGGTTCACCCTGATTTTTTTGTGAAACTTGGTTTCGAGAAAGCAGTTGACCAACAAACTAGTACCAGTGACCGAACTTTTGAGGGGGTCCCGGACCCCAACCGCCAAACGGTGCCCGCGGGGCAGCCACGCCCATATTTGGTCCAAATTAGGCCCAATTTAGCCAAATACCCTGAACATGCCCAAAATCCAGAATTTAGGTGCTCTACTTGTAGCTAGTGGCCCCCTGAACTCGTATATGAATTTCCATCAAGATTGGTCAAAAAATGACTGAGTTATGAGCAAAAAACCATATGACCATATTTGGGCATACGCACCAAATTTGATCGATTTTGGCCCATATATTGGTCAAATATCAATATTTTTGAATGAAACCAACTTTATATGGAAGGTAAGCCTATACTACACATTCTCTATGATTATCAGCTCAGTATCTACCTAACTGTGGATTCTGTGTTCAAATAATCGCAAAAAATGAACAAAATTGCCCATATCTCAGGCCAAATTTTTTTAAAGGCCTAACTCAAAATTCTGTCCCAAAACTTAAGGTCGAAATGCGATTCTACGTTGATTCTGAAAATTTCAGGCAAAAATATTGAAACCCTATTGAGTTCTATTGTTATGAGCGAAATCAGTTTTGCAAATATCGCGAACTGAGATATGGGCAATTCTGTTAGGCTAAATTGGGCCTAATTTGGACCAAATATGGGCATGGCTGCCCCGCGGGCACCGTTTGGCGGTTGGGGTCCGGGACCCCCTCAAAAGTTCGGTCACTGGTCCTAGTTTGTTGGTCAACTGCTATCTCGAAACCAAGTTTCACAAAAAAATCAGGGTGAACCCCCCCCCCCCCCCCCCCTTAATTTATTTATTTTTCAAATATGCAACCTGCCAAAACCAATGGTACCCCTTTGGAATTCAACTCGCATTACGAGAGCCCTCCTATGGTGTTAGTGTTACACAGTAACTTAACATCCAAGTTACAGGAGTTCTTGTTTATTTATATTACCAAAATCATACCAGCCAATTAAATAATTTTGTGGAGCGAGCCTCAAGAACATATTTAAATTATCACATTTTATCAAACCTCGGTGAAAGCTTTGAACTTCTTGACTTCTTTCAAAAATTTTTATTTTCATTAAAGTCGCAGTCTTTTCTGGTAGATAGATGAGAGATATTTTCCCATTAACTGTAATTTAACGTAATATAAATTTTATTTTTGTGCACGGTAAAAATCGTTTCCAATGTTTACTTGCCATCAAAGTTATATTTAAGAAAAATTCTCGATATATGAACAGTGAAATCCCAACACTTTACCAACGGCTTCCATTTTTGTCGCCAAATAAAGACTTTGGCGAAACAAAATCATGACGGATTCTTGATCATTGTGGAATGTAGTAGACAGATTCATTATTTAAAATTACATTCACTTCATGATTATCAATCAGCTGATCAGGTTAGTGTGTACACTGTACATCGTATATATTATATATATTACGCTATAAATTATTGGTGTGTTACCCAGCCTCATGGAGCTAGTTCCACGAGAGTGGACAACAAGCCAGCAAGCAAATCTTAACACAATAAGTTCTGGAATTTCCAGTCACATACTATTACTAGTACTACATACTACACATTCTTAAATGATATCAAGTGTCTAAACGTACTCCATGCCATGTGACGGGGAAAAACATGTGACGGGGAAAAAACATGTTAGGCGATCATAATGAATTATAGCATTTATAGCATTTTGTAAAAGTTTCAAATCAAATCAACAGTGGTGCACTATATATTACACACTATATTGTATCATGCGCACGTATCACATATTCAGATGTAAAAATGATTTTATTTACGGTCACCAACAGCTAAGGACGTTGCACAGTAACTTTAATTTATTTATTTTTCAAATATGCAACCTGCCAAAACCAATGGTACCCCTTTGGAATTCAACTCGCATAACGAGAGCCCTCCTATGGTGTTAGTGTTACACAGTAACTTAACATCCAAGTTACAGGAGTTATTATTTATTAATACTTTAATATTACCAAAATCATACCAGCCAATTAAAATAATTTTGTGGAGCGAGCCTCAAGAACATATTCAAATTATCACATTTTATCAAACCTCGGTGAAAGCTTTGAACTTCTTGACTTCTTTCGTTGAAATAAGTTCATTGATAATATCTCTAATTCTGTTCTCCTCATCATAGCGGACCACCATTATGCTCGACATGATTATATCCAAATCACCTGGAATTGTATGGATTAATACTATTTAATTTCTACCGTTAGGTTATTTATTATTTATTTAACCTGATACCTATCAGAAAAATGAACAAACAACGATACTAAAAATATTCCATTGATCGTAAACTTTAAAATCCCAAATATTTGTAAACCTTTTGACTTGACGTAATATTTCTTAACATCGTTCCTTTCCTCCTCACTGCCCTTGTAGGTCTTCTCAAATTCCACGATTTCCTCGACAGTGACTTTCCGATACAGTTCTCTCCAGTATTGTGACCACTGGTCCGAAGAGCGATCCTAGGGAGACACACTGTCATTATCCAATCAATTAGACTCTTCCCCACTCCCAATTAACAATTATAAATTGGTATATCAATCACTTTTTTTAGCATTTTGTAAGATCGAAGATGTCTCATCTCGAGAAATAATGTTAAAAGGAGAGATTATATAGCAGTAAAATAGACTGGAGATCACAGAGAAATCTAAACTATTGAAAAGCTTTATCATCAACTGGAAGTTTAATGGTGAAAGCTTCATATTTTTACTTTGTTATGTTCCTGTATAAATAAGAAATTTTCAAATCATGAAAAAATAATCCAAATAAAACTAACAGGAAGCTTATCGTCCTGACTGAGGGTACCATGATCATCATACTCCTTCCTCCTGTCAGAGTCCGATAAGAGAGTGTAAATCTGATGGAGGAACTGGAACTTTACTGTGAAGTTCTCCTTGTCCTCCTGCTGTCTGTCTGGGTGCAGCTGATTGATTAATTGGTTAATTTAACTTTAATATACTATTTAATTATTTAACCCGAATCTCAAAAATTCAAATTTCGAAGTAAAATGTTAGAATAAATCTGAAATGTACATGTCTGGTTAATGTTTTCAGTTTTGGTAATATACCTCTAACGATTTTTTATGATATGCTTTTTTGAGGATATTTGTAGAGCAAGTTTTCTCGACCCCCAGGATTTCGTAGAGATCCGCTGTGCCAAACGTAGCGATGATATCTTCCTCGTCCATTTCTTGAAAATTGTAAATTGTTGAGTAGCATTCGGAACCACAAACTGTTCAAGCTGCATTTCTTTTATGCACTTAGTATAGTGTATTGACTTGAGAGTATCTTACGATTTGGATAATTCATTGATAGAACTTTACTGAGATAATTAATTTATCGGTTTTTATTGCCATATGAGCCGAATTTTCAATTCCAATAATAAGGACTGAAATACATTTTGAATGTCTGTTTTTGGGATTGAATGCTCCGTTATAAATTCACTACTCGTCTTGTTAAAAATGGTTCAAAATTTATTACTACATTTCAGTGGGTAATTTTCAAATTTGTCCCAAATAAAGTGAAACAATGACTTTTCATGACGTAAGGTAATAGATTTTTAAGTGAAAGATCATCGAATATAAAAATAAATTAGTATACCTCACACATACCAAAATAAACTGATTTAAAACTTTAATGTATTAATATACAAATTATAAGTCAAGCTGATAAAACAGGTAAGGCAGATCTTATTATGTAAAACGTTAAACGAACAATCAAACCAATTATAACAAGAAAATAATTTTTTTAAAGAAGTCACCACACGAAATAATAAAAGCGCCAGCGCTTAAATAGAAAGGCCACCAAAGCCTGATACCTAAAATATTTATTTCTCACATCTAACAATTTATTGAGATCAAAACACTGTGATCAACAATGAGTCATCGTTTTTTCTCCATACCAAAGTAGATGAAGAGCAGAATGCTGAACATGAGAAGGAGGATGGTCTGACTGTAGAGAATGTAGAGGAACTTGGGGTGAAGGTCTCCTTCTTCATACCATAAAGCCTGGGGAAGGTTTGGAGCTGAAAGTTTCTGCTTCAAGCAAGTTTAAAATCCATTGATATGATATGAATCTTAAATTTTCGTTACAAAGTTCCCAAATTATGTTCCCCAAACCAGTAAAAATTCTATTTCCGGATCACAAGTACTAACCAAAATAAAAGTGGTAATAGTGAGTCCGATGAGAGTCAGGCTCATAAATACATGTAAACCTATATTGTGTTCAGTACCCACTGTACAGGCTACTATCAACGTTGTACCTGGAGAGAGAGAGAGAGAGAGAGAGAGAGATCAGCGTCTCAAAATGTTACTTACTACCAGTTCTAACCATAGCTTTAACAGAATGTCAAATTATCAAACAGATGTCAAATTATCAGACAGATTATTGAGAGACATCTTCCAAAGAAATCTTGAGCCAATAAAAATCGTTAATTTGTAATAGTTCTACAATATTTTCTCGATTAATTTAGATTTACAGCAGTTTCGGAGATGACACCTTCAAAGGTTTAAAAGGGTGCGCAACTTCTTCCTCTACATAAAATTCCAATAGCATTTGCTTCAGACTACCCTTAAAAGTTAAAATGTATCACAAGAAATAACAAAGCTAAATACTGCTTGCACAAGAAACGACTTATTGTGTCAAATTCTAACCTGCAAGAACGATGGTGAAGATAGCTAGCGCCCATTGCAGGTACCTTGTCTGCAGACAGATATATTGATTAATTTAGGCTGATTTAATATTTGATCAATTACAGGAGACAAAACCCTGCTGCCAAATTCTAACCGATCTAATGATCTATTCAAATAGACGGTTACCATTCAGAAGCATCATTTAAATTTAGTGATTATGGAATCACATAGTAATTTAACTAACCCCTTATTTTCTGTTTTTATGGGTATTTTCATGAAATCAGAAAAGATGCCGGATCGCAATTTGCACAGTCCACGGAAGAATAAAATAATAAGGGGGGGGGGGGGGGGGGGGGGGGGAGGGAGGGGGGCGGGGGCAATAATTACCAGTCTCACCTGAGGATTAGCCTCCCCGAAGAGTGGAGCGCTGATATTACTGCTGATACTGTCCCTGACACCCAGGTCATCCCTCAAACTGTCCGTCTCGTTGTACATGTGGGGAGCTAGTTGGGTAACACGTGACAATACCACGTGACTGGAGCTAGTTGTTGTGGGACATCAGGAGTGGGCCAGGTGGAGCAGGGTGCACATAGTTGCTAGAGTGTGGGTATGTGGTTATTACAATGTGGGTATGTGGTTATTACAATGTGGGTATGTGGTTATTACAATGTGGGTATGTGGTTATTACAATGTGGGTATGTGGTTATTACAATGTGGGTATGTGGTTATTACAATGTGGGTATGTGGTTATTACAATGTGGGTATGTGGTTATTACAATGTGGGTATGTGGTTATTACAATGTGGGTATGTGGTTATTACAATGTGGGTATGTGGTTATTACAATGTGGGTATGTGGTTATTACAATGTGGGTATGTGGTTATTACAATGTGGGTATTATATGTGGTTATTACAATGTGGGTATGTGGTTATTACAAAGTAAATATAGGTTAGGTAATTTTAGGGTGGGACATACTGTGGCATGTGTGGGATTTGTAGAATTTTAAGGTTTGCAAATTGCAATTTTGAATTATCGTTTTCTGTTTCAATTTTGGTTATTCAATACAGACAATGAGTTTGTTGTCAACCAATAATTTAAATCAAATATAAAACTTTCAAAACTAACATCAAATAATTCGCTGGAGGACATACAAATCTGTTAAAAACACAACCTAAGTCTAACATCAGGATTCAGGAATAGTGCCCACTACCATAGTACGGCCGCTAAAAGCTGGTCTCTAAAAGCTGGTCACTAAAAGCTGGTCTCTAAAAGCTGGTCACTAAAAGCTGGTCTCTAAAAGCTGGTATCTAATTGCTGGTCTCTAAAAGCTGGTCACTAAAAGCTGGTATCTAAAAGCTGGTCTCTAAAATCTGGTCTCTAAAAGCTGGTCTCTAAAAGCTGGTCTCTAAAAGCTGGTCTCTAAAAGCTGGTCTCTAAAAGCTGGTCTCTAAAAGCTGGTCTCTAAAAGCTGGTCTCTAAAAGCTGGTCTCTAAAAGCTGGTCTCTAAAAGCTGGCTGCTAAAAGCTCGAAAATGCGACAGAATAACACTAAAAGATCAAAATATAAAAGGCAAACTTTTGACGGCGCTGCTGCAGTACTACATCGCAGAACTGGGTAGTGAGTACACACAAATGCAACCCATTGTGAAGGCTGTAAAGCTTCATGTAGAGAGTAATAACAAATGCACACAACATATTGGACAAAGCACAATGGAATCTGTAACACGCACCACACAGTTGTGCCCACGTGGTGAGAATTTAACGCCCACGTGGTAAGGTTTGAGCGCCCACGTGGATCGAGGTATATTGACAGTAATGAATGGTATAACTCCCAGCATACCTACTAAATAACCACACACACTACTCCGACAATTTACAAACTGGACACTCCTTTTTTTATAATACTTATTAAGTAGGTTCACCAACAGCAACCTAAGATTTCATCGTTGTTGTAGTCCAAAAATAGGCCGGCCAACTTGGTTTGATGAAACTAAGTGGACGAGTTTTATTGAGGAAAGCTGTCGCAACTATCAAGATGGTCGACAATATCTATTTTTTAACACAGTTTAAGTGCTATCTAACCAACTTTAACTGTTTAAAGAGACACTATAAAAGTATAAATAGAGTTTAATTATACCTAAAATCTTTTAATCTTAGGTTTGGTGAATAGAGCAACACAGTTAACCTTTTATTTTTCAGCTGCAATTTTTTGTTTGTTGAATTGTTGAACTGATTGCATATTTTAAGTATGGTTTTTATTACGGACGATCAATAAGCTTACCATTTCCTCTCAGCACTCCACTTTTACATCAGCGTTATCGACGTTTTTAGTCAAGTAAAGTTATCCGTGATAAAATAATACAGATAAAGATAATATTTCAATAAATATGACCCCCTAAAATGTCTAGACTACCTCTAAAACCTCTCTCATAATTCAGTTTGTTTAGGTTTAAAGATAACTATGCTAACATCCTGACCGGTTATACCACCGAAGGTAAACTTCTTACAAGGGAGGACATGGTCCAGAGTAAAATAGTCCGAGTAGAACTCTGACAACTCCTCCACTGTCCAGTTTACTGAGGCTAACACGAACATGCCCGTCTCTGGAGTCACCTGGAGAAGAGGAATTATTAATTATTAATTATTAATTATTAATTATTAATTATTAATTATTAATTATTAATTATTAATTATTAATTATTAATTATTAATTATTAATTATTAATTATTAATTATTAATTATTAATTATTAATTATTAATTATTAATTATTAATTATTAATTATTAATTATTAATTATTAATTATTGACTTGATTTTAACCTCATTTTATGATAAGTCTGAGAATGTATGGTAAATTTGGAGTGACGGTAACCGTTGGCAAGACTAGGATAAGGAAAAGACCCTTTCGATTCCGAAAAATAGGTTAGCACCTTGGTTCGAAAATGGTTCCAGATTAGGTTATGAAAAAACCCACCTAATCAAAAATATTAAAGGTTGAAAAATCAAAAGTCCGACTTGAACTCCAAAACTTGAACTTGATTCATACCATGGAATGAATACGTTGTTTGTAAGTTATCCTGTCGGCTGCAGATGTATTCGCCAAACTGATGGCATCATAAGTTCCTGAAGACATGCAGTATTAGCGTTACAGTTAACTTTGATCACTGCAATAACATCTACGAAATTGCTTATTAATTTGGGAAATTAGTTAAACTCCAGACACTAATTAGTAATTAGTCCTAAGAATTGGGAGGGTAAAAGCCAACAAACAGAAATGTGTCTTCATTTTTATGATTATGTGCTGAATCTCCGAGCTGTAAGAACACGACATCTAACCGAAAGTTGCTCGTAATATAACACGCTTCACCCTCATAATATACCCTCAATCTTCAGCACTTTAGTCATGAAGTTAATAGTAATACTAATAGTGAGTTATGCTCAAAGTATTTATGATATTGCTGTTCGCACGCGAGGCAAAGATTAAATAATTCGGAATTTATTAGTATCTTTACTACTTTACTACTTACGACTCGGTCAAGACAGCTTGTATTGGGCGATAAACTAATTTCGGATTTTGAGGGAGAAATAATATTTGCGCACGCAAATAATATAGATATTTAATATTAAAATAAGCACCAGAAACTAATATTATATATTTTATAAATGTAATATTGCTGCCAACTATCAAGCTGTCTTAGAACAGAATTATAAGATATCTGGTCAGTTCAGGAGAAATGCAATTCTCGAAAGCAAATCTTGAAAGTTTAGTGCTGAGAAATAGTTCACCCAGGTTGTCATTATTTCTGAGCATTCGTACCAGTTCGAAATCGTTTCATTAGTTCAAAATCAATTCGTAAAAACTCGCCTAAATTCGTCAAATTGGCCTTATAAAAACCCATGACGATTATTATTAAATAGCTTCAATTATAGGTATTTACTTCTAATCTAACCAGTATCCACGTCGTACTGGTAAAACACCTAGCCCCCCCCCCCCCCCCCCCCCCCCCCCCTTCCCTATTGCGGTAAAAGAACCATAGTTGTTAAGTTCGTCGAAGAAATGCGAAAAGTTCGTCCAGTTCGGCACCTTTTAAAAATTCGTGAAAATTCGTGAAAATTCGTTGCGTAAATTTTCTTGGCATATGTTTTGATTTTATAATGAATGGCTTAGGTGCGATCACTATTACACTTGTAAACAAATGATACAGTTAGATAGTTATACATACTTGTATTGAAAAAAAAACTAGATCAACAACAGATCATGACTAGTACTTCAATATAAACAGAGCTGGTTCACAGATTACAATTAAGCATCAATTATAGCAACAGCTCTCAAAATTTAGAAAATTGGTATTTCAATTGTCCAGTGATCTGAATTTTGGGAGGTCATCAAAAATTCGGTTAAAGTTCGTCTATTTCGTTAAAAAATTCGTCCAGTTCGGCACCTTTTTAAAGTTCGTCCAGGACGTCCGTAACAACTATGATTAAAGAACCAGCTCCTCTGTTATAATATATTAACAGAGACAGTGATGACACGTTTGGAGGCTAGGTACGAAACTTTAAACATTTAAATCAACTAAATTTTTAAAAAGTTATTTAAAGATATTTGAGTATCTAATTTTTGGATTGTATCGCATGGCCAGCCGCTTTGACATCGGCAATCTTTATATTAATTTTTATTGTTGATTTAAGCGGGATAAAAATACTTTATTTCATTTCATTTCAAAAAATACCTTTGTCAACACAAACATCATGTCTGAGATGAGAAGTGGTTGAGTTGATCACATCAAGACAGATAAACTTTATGTGAGGATAGTCAGAGTTGATTTCTGCTGCTAGTTTTATCGACGATGCCGAGTAATCAATACCTGGAGAAGGAGATCTTTAATCTTTAATTATATTAATTAGTTTACCTTTGTGACGTCATAACACGTGACATGACGTCATAACATGTGACATGACGTCATGTTCTGGGTAATACCTGGAGAAGGAGGAGGTATTTAATCTTTAATTAATTAATTTACCTTTGTGACGTCATAACACGTGACATGACGTCATAACACGTGACATGACGTCATAACACGTGAAGTGACGTCATGTTCTGGGTAATACCTGGAGAAGGAGATCTTTAATCTTTAATTAATTAATTTACCTTTTAGGTATTAGCATTTAGCAATGCGGTAAAGATCAATTAACTGGCTCTACTTTACCCATATAATACTGTATATGTATATACAGGCTCTTGCTGAATAGAATGCTGATCACGCGACTAAGTGTAATAAACTGTTAAAGTAACCTGTTAAATTAGAAAATCCCTCCTCAGCCAGCAAGGAGAGAAGGTGCCCGTTCCCCGTTCCTGGGGGAGTAAATTCTTATAACCCAAAACATTTAATTATACAATATTGACATAAATATAATCTAGAGAATAAGTTAGGTACACTGTACAGAATCCATTTCAGAAAATTGCCTTTGAAGATTATTATGTGACATTGACCACAAAGTAGGCTAGATTCGATGATTGGCAAAACTTAATAACTAATTCTATAACTCCTTAGATAGTTAATAAAATAAACCGCTCGCGTTCCTTCTAATCTGACAATAAAATACCCTATCGGCATAAGCCGACCGCTGAATAATATAATTACATATTATACTCGCAAGCATTTTCTTATACAGCGATTGAATTTTAGATTCACTCCATGGAGTATGATTGGGAATGATAAATTTAATTTTATTTGTCAAGTCTTCTGTCTGATTATAAAAACGGAAATTCTCGAATCTAAATCAAATTTGACCCCCCTCAATATTATTACGACTTACGTTATATTGAGTTTGATTTCATATATAATAAATAATTTCTGTTCTTCTTTATTATCGGACAAAAGACTAACTGACATTACCATACTAATTTTAACGCATAATTGATTCGCCACTATCACTGAATTAATTAATCATAAATCATTTAATGGCCACTAAACTGACCGACATCAGCAAGAGAGCAGTCACTGTCGACGTTATCCACCAACCAGTCGACAATCTTCTGCTCCGTTCTCTCGCCGAACCATATCTCACCTGAGTAAAGCAATTCATTATCACACTTCCCTGAACTCAACAATTATATTAATCTTAAATGTTGGATTTCGGTTATCTGCTGGATCACGGTAAAATACTTTTATCCGATGATTTCATTCCAAGAGATTGTACGTATGACGTTATTGTCCCTATAAGATTTCCTAGAACATTAACAAATGAAATACAGATTGCTAATGGTGCACAGCTTACGTGTACCCACTACCCTGGACTTTTGTTCTTTGAAGGGAACTCCGATTCTCAGGTTAAATTTTGAATAAACTTGATTTTCTTGAAGACTCACATAAATTGCTATATTTTATATTTCTATTAACGTTTTTAGAAGTCAATTCTTATCATAGAAGTGCAGTAAAGAAGGCTGGAACACGTTTAACAGCATAACACAACTCGACAGTTTCTAATGGAGTAAAAAATCTGTTTAAATCTAATGATCGAACAGTTAAGCGTAATATAAATAAAACCATTCAAAGAAATTTTAAGCATGACGTTATTATTCCAGCTTGCAGGTACTCTTCAGTCCTTTGAAGGGAACTCCAATATAAAAAGACAGATTTTACATAACTGTTTTGAAGCTGTTCAAAAATAAGGTATATTGCCCCGGTGACTTTGCCTGCACTAGTTTTATGATTCGATAGTTTAAATGAAATTTCTTCGCTACTTCAACTTCAATACGTGAAGGATCGATTTCTTTGAGCAATATTTAACACCAATTTTCAGATTCAACTTTGATTCAACTTTAAATTTGCAGATTATACTCACGTCATTAACGAAATTACTTGTACTAGCATTTTCAATTTAATAGAAGTCAATTCTCACGATTCTTTGAACAATTATAAAACACGTAGCTTTTAATGGAGTACCAAGATATGTCTCACGATCCAACATTTATCATGACAGCTTCTGTTTCTACTTTCTAGCCTCAACTGCAACATCACATGCGCTCTTTAAAATGATTGAATTGCTTGGAATTGGACAGTGTTTCTTGAATATCGTTTTTTGTGATCGAATGCAGAAACTTTGTAATTAGTTTAGGTTTATAAATCGTCTGGCAGCGTGATTATTTGTTCCAAAATTGAGATATGTCACATCGATTGACGTATTTGAACGCAACTTCATGGCATTAAGACAACCTATTATCGAAACTTAATAAGCTGTTTTACTGCAATACTAATTCGTCTCCTCGTCGTCTCAATAGATCTATAAAATCTGCCGTATATCAAGATACTTTGCTTTATAGACTCGTTTTATGGACTAGCAACAGTTATTAACATTTCGTACTTGAATTCACAACTTTTAAAACTTCGATTCTCGAAATTGCAATCAATTTGCGAGATTTTTCCCAACATCCGCAACACTTCAGGTTGTTTCGAGAGCTAGGCTTTGTCATAGTTTTGATTTGATTGGCACCATTTGGACAATCACACATTCTGTAGAATTACTGCGTTATCGACTTTTTATATCAAAAACATAATATAATAACTAACTTTAAGGGGTCGTTCACATATTACGTAATCAGCCGAGGGGAGGGGTTTCAAATGCTTACGGTTGATTACGGGGGGGGGGGGGGGGGGGGTTTGGTTGTTGATTACGTAATCAAAATTTTAATTTTTTACCGATTTTCGAAATACCAATTGGACAATTTTCGTTAATTATGTACTCAAAATTTTCGTTTTTAAAATCAATTTTCGTTTAGTACGGGTATTGGCCTTACAAAATGACACGAAAAAGGAGATGGCTCTGGAATGCACAAAAATGAGTTTTGTTCATGTTTTATTATCCAGATAGGTAGTTCAACAGGTATATTTTTCTTCCCGGGGGTTGATTTGATTGAAAAACCGTAAATTTTGCGATAAAAATTGTCATCTTTGAAATCTTCCAAAAAAACATGCCTTACAAAATGACAATTTCGTCACGGCTGTCATTTTTTAACAGCAGCCTATAGAAATTTGATTTCACCTAGGACAGTTAGATAAATATAATAGATTGAAGATTAGAATAGCTTTTACAGGAAAAAGGATGATTAAAAAAAGTTGGGCAATTTCGCGTGAGATAGTGCCTTACAAAATGACAACCCAAAACGGCATCACTTCAAATCCGATTTGGGAAAAAGTTTCATTATTCTTTCACGTGTCTTACTGTTAGATATATATGTTGTTTATATTATACCAGTTCTGTTTTTACCAAAATATATTAAAAAAGGAACATTTTTTATACTTTGAAAAGATTTTAAAAATGTCATTTTGTGAGGCGTTAAAATCATTTTTTGTTTTCATACTTGAACACAGTATTTGGTTATATTTGATATTTTCTATGACTGGATAGATCACTTTTCAGTGTTTAGTTAACGTTTGACATGTTTTAGGAGTTGTTATTACTCTCTGCTTTCACAAAATAGAAGCTTTATTTCGTTGAGTTTTGAAATCAGAGTTTGAAATCAAAGAGTTTGAAATCAAAGTTTTGATATCAGAACTGCACTCTTTTAATGCTACTTGATTGTTAACTGTCAGATTATGATTATTTTTAACTCCTTCTTGTATTGACTGTTTCTGATCCATTTTAGATGATGAAAGTAATTCAATCTGAAACATTGTCATTTTGTAAGGCTTTTCAGTGTCATTTTGTGAGGCATTTTGATCAAAATTGATGATCAAACAAACACATTTAGGCTCGTCATAAGCTTACTGGGTTTAAGAATACCAATAATTAGGCAAGGGGCATCCAATATAAATATGCCATCTTTGTATCATAAAATAAAACTGTCATTTTGTGAGGCATAACACTGTCATTTTGTGAGGCTAGGTCATTTTTTTGTCATTTCTTCTACCAAAGTCACTAAATCAGTTTTTTATTTGACCAGAGTAGTCTTTGATTGACATAAGTCATGGTAGTACCTGGTTTTCTGGGGTTAAATTCTAAACTTTGGTGTCCATTCTGGGTAACAGTTAGTCGGGGCAATGACTGAACAGCAAAAACGTCCATATTTATGTAAGAAATATAGATTCTATGTCATTATCATTCCTTGGGAAGTGTTAATTAATGCTTTTTCTTTCATACAGTAAAAGGAATAGGGTTCAATGTATAGGGAACCTAAGCTACAGCATGGTCTATGTGGGCTGTCATTTTGTGAGGCCTGTCATTTTGTAAGGCCGATACCCGTAAGTGCTTTGCGATTATTTCATTCATTAATCCGTTGTGATAGCTTTTAATAATCTTGATTACGTAATATAGGAGGGGGTTGGGTCTTGATTACGGGGGGGGGGGGGGGGGGGGGGGGGGGGTCAAACCTTGATTACGTAATATAGGGGGGGCCGGGGGGGGGGGGTTCGGTTTTGATTACGGCCGTTAATTACGGAGGGGGGGGGGGGGGGGTAAACATTGCCATGTGAACGACCCGGCGCTAATACATCTTACTTATAACTCAGAGAATTCTTTTTGTACAATGTTTGTACACTGTACGACCGCCCAGGTGCAAATCAGACGAGAAAGTTGCGTAGTAACCATAGTACCGAGGATTGTTACACGCACGTGCACGTGCAATGATCGTTTTAAGTTTTAACGTCATTTTTATAGGTTTTGTTGATATTACGCTGTTTTTAGTACGAGCAACATTTTAATTGGCTGTATCTTCGGTGGTGTAGGATATTTTTTGACGCGATCTAAACTTACTAACAAAAAATACTATTAGCTTCCTCCCTGTGACCACGGGTTTTCTAATATTAATATAATACTGCATTCTTTACAGTTATACTTGTAGCCGAAAACAATGGAAATTATATGTATTCTCAGTAATTAGAGAAGTGAAACATATTAATTTTGACACGTGACAGCGATATATGAATTTAAATTTTAATTGGCTGAACGCTGTAACTTATCGAAACAATATATTAATCAATGATACTTTTACTGACCAACATCGTCCTGGTTATTCTTGTAGTTATCAAGCTCTGTTACGTAGATATTATCCCAATAGTCCTTCTTTCCAAGATGCGAGTCATTCAGTTCCATGGTGCTATAATTTCTGTTGGTATGACCGGTTAGGATAATCGGAAAGAGAATACAAATAATTTACCATGTCATAATAGGACAAAGTATAACTATAAGTTAGATTCAATTCAGTTCTGGGTCGATTAATTTGCAATATATTGTCAGTATATTTTCAGATAAAGAAGATGGTAACTTAAGCACTTAAAGATAGGGCGAGTAGTCGATAAAAAAACACCAACTGTTAAAATTAGAAAACATTACATGATGGGAAATAAGAATTCCAAATTCTATTAGACGCCATTGGCTGGGGTTTTCGACATTTCATGGCCAAACATATTTCTTTTTTATTAACTAACGAGAGATTTGACCAGACTTCAACATATGCGACCATTTTATAAGTTAATCTCGATCCGTGAAAGTCAATAATTTGAACCAGGAGCAAATTTTTTAACCAGTATGTTGGGGGGGTGTCCGTAGCAATTTTTGGCAATTTTTGGCAATTTTTGGCAACCTCTTTTTTTGGAAATTTTGAAAATTCAAAAAAAGGATATTAACAGTCTTCAAAATTGGGCTCATCATAATAAGATGGTGTTTCACCCTTCAAAAAGTCACGTTCTTTCTATTACCCGAGCATATTCTATGAATCGTAGTGTTAATTTTGTGTACTCAATGAATGAAACGGCTATCGAATACACAGACATTGAAAAAGATCTTGGAGTACATATCAATAGTAAGTTAGATTGGTCACATCACTGTGATATGATATACTCTAAGGCTAGTCAGAGGTTAGGCCTTCTAAAAAGAACATGTTACTTCACCAAGAACACTAAAAAACGTCGGGCCTTCTATCTATCTCAGGTTAGAAGTCATTTCGAACACTGCACAATTGTCTGGCGGCCTCATTCAGAAACCTCGGTGGAGAAACTTGAATCGATACAAAAAAGAGGTATCAAGTGGATCCTTAATGATATTTACTTGAGCCTTAGGGACAAAAAAAGGTATTTCATAGCGTGTAAGGAACTAAATATCCTTCCACTCTTATATCTCGGTAAGGTTTGATTACAAGGATATATTATATTTTCATTATATTTTTTATGACATGTCAGTTGTGACATTTCCACCTTACTTACGACGTTTCATGGGAAGTAGGTTAAGGCGATCACATCTAGACGATCTCAGTATGATTAGTGACATTTCTCCTCAAGTTCCACAAAACCTTACGTCAAGCCAGACCAGATGTTCAGGCATATCTAAGTCTTACTTTTACAGAGCACACATTCTTTGGAATAAACTCCCTTATGAATTAAGGGAAATCTCAAGGCCATCCGTGTTTAAAACCCATTTAATTAAGTACCTCTGGACAGTTCTAAACGACCATATAACATCCTCTGACAGTTAAACAATTTACCTTAATGTAACTATATTGTCTAAATATAAATTGATATGAAGTATAATTAATAAAATATGTTAAATAAAGTGTGTTTATAATTATGATTTATGGTACATTGTTATTTATTATATTTATATTTTAGGCTGTAACCTTATTAGTTCAATGGAATAAACCTAGCATGCCTTGGTTGCAGCATCGCTTCACTTATAGGTGCATTTAGGGCCCGATGTAATTGCTATGATCAGTTTACTGGTCAACTGGTGTTTCGGTGTCCCTTATTTTGTTTACACTCGGTCACTTGTCAAGGCATGTAAGGTCATTCGGCGATATTTTCTTTGAAATAAAATGATGTATTTGTGTAACAATTTGAAAGTTTATTGATAAAAAATAAAAAAAATTCTATGTTAACCTAGTAATAGCTCTCAATAAATTTTAGGAAATCGTTTCTCCGACCAATCATAGGTCAAACACCCATACCAACTATTTTTTTCGGCACCAATGTTATTATGGTTTTACCACCGTGTTTTGGTTCAGACGATATAAATTTTACAATGATGTTTACATAATGTTTCTCACTCCAGCTGCAGTCTGGTAGTGTTGAGTCTCAGGAATATTTCTCTAGCTCTCATTTTCCATGTTTTTGCCTCACAGAAAATATTGTGGTCTTTTCTAAATATAACTGTGATACATTGATGTAAAGTTTATTTGAATTTTGAAATAAAATTCAAACCGAATTGTAAAATTGTAAAATTGTAAAATTATAAAATTGTAAAACCATAAAACTATAAAATTATAACTATCGTATTAAAATGTTTATATTATTATTTCATTATTATTTGATGATGAAATTTGAACGAATATTAACGAATATGAAACCAATTTAAAACAAGTGGGTTCTCCTGAGTCACAAGACGTTAAAATAATAAGTTAAAAGTTATCAAAATATCGTTAGTAATAGCAAACATGGAACAATGTGACCCAGACACCACCTAAATAAAATACAAAACGTAACAAACGTGAAATACCAAGTTCAATTTAAAATAAATAGTTAGATCGATTGTGCGACTATATTAGAGTGATAAGCAGCGAAGCTTAATTTTACAAATAAATAAATGAAAGTACGCTTTGTGACTAGATGATTTACACGTTAAAAAATGTATTTGAATATTTGTAAATCCTTCAGAATATCCATTAAGATCTATTAGAATTTTAAAATCCAAAAATTTGCTTATAAAACAATGAAATTAACTGAAACTATCACTTGCACATCACATGCGTGTTGACAATGCTATTCATCAACTGACACGTGTACTGACACGTGTACCTCAGCTGACGAGTGTGAACTATAAAAATTCAAATCCAATAGAGACCGCAGACTATTATAATACCTTCCGGGAATTATATCCACTAAAAGTCTCCGACACTGAGAGCTGATAATTTGCCGATATATCCCGCAAGGAAAGCCAAGGTATTATCAGCATAGACCTCAGACTGGCTGGCGGCAAGTTGTAAAATATAATAATAGCTTGGCTAATGAGTGCTGAGCGCGATAATTCCCGACAGCTTGCTGGAGGGAACGCGCGGGCACGAAATTGCCAAGCTGTTATGTATTATAATATTTTCCGGTTCCGAATTGGAAGGGGTGTAATCCGATACGTGCGCATGATACAATATAGTGTCTAATATATAGAACGCCAGTGTTATTTGTTTTACAACTTGCCGCCAGCCAGTCTGAGGTCTATGCTGATAATACCTTGGCTTCCCTTGCGGGATATATCGGCAAATTATCAGCTCTCAGTGTCCGAGACTTTTAGTGGATATAATTCCCGGAAGGTATTATAATATAATAATACCTTGGCTAATGAGTGCTGAGCGCGATAATTCCCGACAGCTTGCTGGAGGGAACGCGCGGGCACGAAATTGCCAAGGTGTTATGTATTATAATACCTTCCGGGAATTATATCCACTAAAAGTCTCCGACACTGAGAGCTGATAATTTGCCGATATATCCCGCAAGGAAAGCCAAGGTATTATCAGCATAGACCTCAGACTGGCTGGCGGCAAGTTGTAAAACAAATAACACTGGCGTTCTATATATTAGACACTATATTGTATCATGCGCACGTATCGGATTACACCCTTCCAATTCGGAACCGGAAAATATTATAATACATAACACCTTGGCAATTTCGTGCCCGCGCGTTCCCTCCAGCAAGCTGTCGGGAATTATCGCGCTCAGCACTCATTAGCCAAGGTATTATTATATTATAATACCTTCCGGGAATTATATCCACTAAAACTCGGGGACACCGAGGGCTGATAATTTGCTCATTTTTCCCGCAAGAGAAGCGAGGGTATTATCAGCCCAGACTCAGACTGGCTGGCGGCAAGTTTCAAAACAAATAACACTGGCGTTCTATATATTAGACACTATATTGTATGATGCGCACGTATCGGATTACACCCCTTCTGCAATCGGAACCGGAACGTATTATAAAATATAATACCTCCGCAACTTCGTGCCCGCAAATTCCCTCCAGCAAGCTGTCGGGAATTATAGCGCGCAGCACTCAGTGGCGGAGGTATTATAGTATTATAATCACACTAGGAAAGTGGATACTTAAGGTCCTTAAAATGGAGGATTTTGTTGAATAGGTTCGTTGCGTAAATATCGTTTCTGGCGGTCATCTCCTCACTCTGCCAATAAAGCTGATCTGGTTTTTTTTGGTAAATTACCTGCGTTCGATTGCTAGGCATGTTTTCTTTGTTCGCGGTTTGATCTGGTGAAATAAATTTGAGAGTTAAAGAGAGTTTAATCTGCACCAGAGTACACATTCGGAGGGAATTGTCACGGTATAGAGAGTTTTTACTGCATAAACTCTTTTGTTCATTAATTATAACTTTTTTTCATTAATTATAACTTCTATTCGTTAATAACGAAATTCATTAATTAACAACGCATTTTTGCCGGAGATATTAAAATATCTACCACTCCTGATGACCAGATAAATAGCGAACCTGTTCCGCAGATTGTCTTCCTCAACTTCGAGTGAGTTACATCGGTAACTCGCACCTTTATACGGGACAGCACTCTGAACTCTTCCGCGAGATTATTGGCTTTTGTTGGTCGGTGTGTACTGTTATCTGTTTCTACCTGGAACGATCAGTTGTCACATTATTTCATTAACAGGTGAATGGGTAATACTCATAAAATATTTGTTCCAAAGACGAGTCCAACTCAGTGCGCGTCTTGGTAGGTTATAATAAACCTATATATAATATATATTTTATTTAAAATACCTTTTTTTGTAAATACTATCCATGTATTCCCCGGTGATTAAACGGGGTCTATCTTAAGAAGAATGAGTAGACGCGTCATCGTTAGAACTAGAAGCCACCCCAGTTTAAATTACTGGACTATTTTATCAGACATAGCGTACAATTCTCAATTCTCAATTCTCATCTTCAAATCATGAACTATCCATCTAGAGGTCACGAATTCCACCAGCTTTTTGATGATTATGGGCACTTTCAAAATAAACTGTGCAGAATATAACCCATTCAAAGTCGCAAATTGGCATTCAGGCATTGACAAACTATAATTTCTAATTTCTATAATTACATTTGCCAAGAATTCGTCAGCCTGCAATCTACCTTTGGAAAGCTACACCGCTGTTTTGTGATATTATAGACTGTCTGTACATGTGACTAAGATCAGTGACTAAGATATTTATAGCTAGGAACAACAAGTATAAATATCGAACGATCTGGAAACTGATTCGCCACAAGCATTTCTGTGCAGGAATGTGTTGTCCATAGTCCCGAAGGCATATTTTCTCTAGGCGACCCAATAACTTACTTGATACTTGATAAGGTCTCCTCAATCATTCGAGTGTCCTGCACCAAGGAATTGCCGCTTATGTCGTATCATCTCTCTCCAGTGCTTGCGATTTCCTGCCAACTCTCGGACCTTATCAAATACAATGTCTGGATCTCCTGTAAATGTTACTGCGTCTTCCAGGACACAGGTTCGCCAATTCTTTCTTGGCCGCCCACGTGATCTTCGGCCGTGAGCAGGTATCCAGTCAAGTAGATACTTTGGTAGCCTGGTGTCCGGCATTCTAGAAACATGTCCAAACCAGCGAAGACGGTTGGCACTGATGTAGGTTATAACCGGGTTTATTCTTGCCCGCTCCAACACTTGAACATTGCTCGTCCGGTGGAACCACTTAATTCGAAGGATTCTCCTCAAACAGTTTTGATGGAAAACTTCGAAGCGATGTAGTTGCTTTGAAGTAGTGTTCCAGACTTCGCTTCCATAAAGTAATATTGTTAGAACCGCTGCAACATATATCCGTATTTTGGTGTTAGTTTGGATATTGCGATTCTTCCAAATATTACCGAGCTGATTGAATGCTCCTGAGGCTTTCTGGATCCGTGCAGACAAGTCCCGGTCAATAGTACCATCACTTGATATAATCGACCCAAGGTAAGTAAAGTTGCTGACTTGCTGGATAGCCGTGTCTCCTACTGTAATGTCCACCGTTGATGCTTCAGTATACGGCCTCTGTGATGTATTCTTGCCGATGGCCATAACCTCTGTTTTCTTCGCATTGATTCTGAGGCCAGCCTGAGCCGCATACTTGCATAAAAGATCCAATAACGACTTGTTAAATTTGCTTTTGCTGTTAGGAAGGCACTCAGAAAATCAATTGGGGTGCAAAATGGCCGCCATTGTCAGTTGTCACTTTATCTCATTATGGCAGGCGAACGAGGGTTTTAAAGTGTTTTGACCGTCGTGAATTGAGGTATTTTGATGTTTTAGGGAAAAAGATGAAAATTGCTGGTATGTTTGCCCAATTTTCCTAACTTTTAAATGGAAGGTATTACAGACTTCTGGAACAGTGTAAAATAACTGCAACTAGCACATTTGTTTGAGAGTTGTGAATAGATAATTGTCCTAAAATGCTTAATTTTTGAATTATTGGCGAAAAACTGATTTTTGGCATCGTGAAATTTAGTGAAAAAAACAGATGCGGATGCAGCGTATTTTGGGTTCGAAAGGTCCCAGAGACTTCTAAGTTCTAGTTGGTGCAAAATGTTTGCAATGGCCATAATTATAGGCAACATATACCATAAAATACTTATTCTTACATATATTTCACAAAAAGGGCATAAATTGTCTTTTTGTAATAATATTTCGTCGATTATAATTGCCATTAATCGGTTTACCTTTTTTCATTTCTCTAGTATAATTCAAATTAGATTAAATCTTAGAACAGCATAAGGTGTTCTATTCTATCAGCTATCTGGCAGCATTACAAAATGATAACCCTATTTATTACTTAAAATAAATGAATATTTATGGCAGGAGCCAGAAGTTCAAGCACAAGTCCATCAATCCATCATGACGTGGAAAGAGTCAAACACAGGGACATGTAATGCTCCTGAGGTTGGATCTAGAATCATCACCTTCTATTAGTTTAGTGTCCTGAGGACTACGGACAAAGATCTCTATCATGTGATTTCTAGCACACACAATGTGGGAAGAAGGATCGTTGGGCGCCCGCTAAACGACGTTTAACTCCGCCTATGCCGGTCGTGACTCCATTTGTTACTCCAAAATGGAGCTAAGCCCGGGACCACAGTGTGTCCACTGTGTCTCTTTGAGTTCCTACACTAGTCAAAGACTCTCTACTATATGATGGACAGCTCACTGCAAGGGATTGGACGATTGATGATAACTTTTTGCTTGCTTTGATGAATCTATTAAGTATTTATAACTCACTTTTACATAATACTGAATACAGCTTGTAACAGGAGTGGCACTGAATCTTGACTGTTAATCAACTTCAATTGCAGCTTCGATTAAAGAAGGCAAGCTTGATATCCGTCTACTTGCTATGTATCTTTAACATTTTGAGCTGAAGCACACAGTTTGATTAATAAACGCAGGCGGCGACATCAAACTAATAAGTTTAATATTTTTGAAATTGAGAGGTCTTAGTTTAGATATTTTAGATGATTAATTGTAGATGAGATGTTACTGGTTGATATCTAACAAACTATCTAACAAATGGGTCGTTTAAAATAAACTATTTTTAAACATTATTAGATTATTGTTGTCCTATATAGGACCTGTTTTCATCTGCAGAAAGTTTAACATGGAGATGAAAAACTACATCTGTTTTTAGTGTTGATTTGTTTTTTCAAGCACTAATCTGACTATTTCAAAGCTAAGAGTGATCCCCTTTGTAAGTCGAGCAATGGTCACGTGCTAAATATTATTCACTTAAGGGATGCTATCAATATTACAAGACAGCTTCCAAGGTTATGTATCTAGACTTTATCAATCTCAGCTTGATAAATTTGCAGAGTATTTTATGTAATTTCGAGAGGGATAGTACGGTTCTATACCTGCTGCCATAGGTGCTTTAATTTCAAACATCCCCCTGCACTCTGTACTCTGTACTCTGCAGAGTATGAAGTTTTGTTCTTTCTTGTTTGGAAATTGTTCAAGATTATTGGTGCACTTCCCATTAGGGAAATGGTTCCGTTAAACATGTCTGACGCAATGTTCTTGTGAATAGTCTCCCATGGAAGTAACCGAAAGACAATTTAGCTGAATACACCGTTTTAGCTAAATAATCCTCCGGTAATAAATTCCGCCCTCCTGGCCAGACTGTAACGAAGCTTTTAGAGCCCGTTTAGTATTCATTTACAGTTTGATAGATATATAATAGTCTAATAATAAAAAACAAATTTTAATAAACCAATGTCAGTTCATATCAGTTATAAAATTCAAGACAAATCACAACGAAACCCGTTCCTCAGAATCACTAGCGCCGGCTGAACGTATTTCAGGACACACCACACCACCTACCGGAGCGATATGGCTGGTTATTTGACTTCTATCACCACTAATAGAACTGATATTATTCAGCGTAGACTGTCTAACAATTTCCTTCCAGGACCGTAGTGATTGAGCCTTGTTTCTCCTGGAAAGTTTAAGTGTGCTGAATCCTCTTTTTAAATTGTGTGTCCTGGGGAATTGTATATTTGTTGCCGGATGAGGGGCACGAGTGTTTGGTATAGGGGATTTAGTGCTTGTACTTTGTATCTTTTTGAAGATGTTGTATTCGTTGTCCCCGCAGCTGAGCGTACCAATGAGATGATCTTTAAAGTGTTTACAGGAAAGGGAATAACAAACTGGGTTCAACATAACATTCAGCCAGAACATCTGCTTCTGAAGGACAAGATACCAGTTGGGGAGCGGGCCTTGTCCCATCTTCTCAAGGATAATTCTCACAAACACAGGGGTAACCGATATGATGAATAACCAGGAAATACTGGAAACAGTTACAAGAGCGGACTTGCTGGGCAGCCTCATGAAACTATTGTTTGATTCCTGATTAGACACGACATGTCGGGAAGCCACCACGATGATCCCAAGGTTGCTGAACAGTATGATGGTCAGGGGAATAATGGCAAACATTACCACTGTTGCGTACGCGAACTCTATCCACGGTTTCTCCTGAGTGTGGAGATCGGAGGGCTCACAAGTCAGCATGTTCTCGATGTAAATACTATCCATACCCCAGATGAGGGTAGAGAACCGGAAGAGAGCGCACCCCACCACTAGAGCCACTATCCAGACCCGGGCTACAGGTGCTGTGATGGTCTGACGACATCGGAACGGCTTGAGGAGGCAGTAGAGCTTGTAAGCAGAGATAGAAGCCAGCAGGACAAACTCTAGGATAGCTAGGAAGTGAGAGAAGGTGCCGGATAGGAAGCAGAGAAAGTTTCCAAATATCCATTTATTCGTTAAAATGGTGACAGTGTCGGTTATCCATTTTGTGAAAATGAGACTGAGATCGCAGATGGCTAGAGCTTGAATTAGGAGGATAATGACGCCACCGAATGATTTACTGAAAATATTTGCACTCTTCAGTGAGCCACATATTATGAAGACGTTTCCGATTAACGCGATGGGGATTCCTATAAAGTTCTGAATACTGAAAACCACTGGTATCCACAAGGGCCAAATAATGGGGGGTGAGTCCACTACTGATGTATTAGTAGCCATAGCTGAGAGTGGGTGTTGATTAGATTATTTAAAAGTACATTAATATAGTAATATACTAATATATAGAA